CTCGTAGTATGGGTATCTTTGAGATATTGCAGTAGCCTTTTGAGTAATTACATATGATAATCATGAGGTTCATGCATGTGTTGACTTAAAAAGTTAACACTAGAAGTTATGTCAGGTTGAGGTATTGTTAATATTGTAAAACTCCAATAAGTTGAAAATATTGTTGAGGATTGGACTGAGCTAAGTGAGAAATAATGGGTTTGGAAGGCTGAAGAGGTAACTGAGTAGAGGGAGGCTTTGATTGCATCATTCCGGCTCTAGAAAACAATTATGATATATATTTTATTTGATGCAAAAAATATTCATTATGAGTTTTGTTTATGTATAGACCTAAGAAGTTGGGTAAGTGTCCAAGTTGCTTTAAATTGAATTACTGTGTTAAAGCTTGAATTAAATTTTGAACTGCTATGGAAGAGTTTCATGTGATAAGAATATCATTTACATAGATGAGTAAGAACATGCATATTTTATTTTGATGATATATAAGTAAAGAATGATCCAAATTGCTCAACTGAATTTTTGGGTATATAAAAATGTGCAAAAGGTAGAATACCACTGTCGTGGCTCTGTTTTAAACCATAAATAACTTTGTTTAGCTTGCAAACAAAATGTGGATAATTAGTATCATGAAAGTCCAGAGGTTGAGGCATATAAATGATGTCTACAAGTTTGTCATGTAAAAAGGCATTTGAAACATCTAGTTGATGTATGTCCCTACTTTCGGTGGTAGTTAAAGAAATAAGCATTTTTATTGTTATAAATTTAGTAACAAGACAAAATGTTTTAATATAGCCAATACCTAGTTTTAATTTGAATCCTTGAGCCACTAAGTGAGCTTTTTGGTGAGCAACTGTAACATTTGTATGATACTTTGTCCTAAACGTCCATTTGCAGCCCAACACATTTTGTTGATTATCCGAAAGAACAAGAGTCCATGTGGCTTGTTTTTATAGTGCCATATATTCTTTTGACATAGCGTGACGTCAATGTTGTTGTTTTATACCTTCTTTAAAGTTAATAGGTGTATTAAGGTAGGTATGATGTAAAAGAAAAAAATATTTTATTGGGTTTTATTTTGTCAGTTTGCATGCGAGTTAAAATGTGATGAGCATGGGTTTGAGGGATAGAAGGAGCAACAAAAAGATGGGAAGGTGAATTTGAAGTATTATGATGACTAATAGGTTGTAAGGTGTTGATAACAGATTGTGAGAGAGGATTAGTACAAATACTGTCAGAGGTAATAGGATGTGGAGAAGGAAAGAATGTGTGTTGTGAGAGAAGTGAGGTATTGTAGATGTTGGAATAAGTAGAGCCGAAGAAGGAGGGTGCATGGTTATCTGGTGAGTTTTGGAGTGGTATGAATTTCCTTGAAGAGAAAATAGTCTTCATTGAAAGTCACATGCCTTGATATAATAAGCCTCTCATTTTGAATGTCATACCACTGAAAACCTTTGTGATGACAAATATATCCCAGAAACACACACATGAGAGTCTTGAGATTAAATTTATAATTCATGGAGTGTTGTTGCCATGGGAAACAAGCGCACCAAACGTTTTCAAGTTATGATAATTGGGAGATACATTTTGGAGAAGTTGAAAGGGAGATAAACTATGTATGGTAGATTAAGGAATTAGATTGATAAAACAAACTATAGTTTGTACAGCTGTAATCCAAAATTTGGTGGGTAAAAAGGTAGTATTGAGGAAAGTTTTAGCATTTTCTGTTATGTGTCATTTTTTGCATTCTGCCACCTCGTTTTGTTCAGGTGCATAAAGACAACTAAGATGATGTTGAATGTCATTGAGTTGCAAATAATTATGAATTTGTTGTGATTTATATTCATTGGCTTCATCGATTCTTAAAATTTTAATGTTGTTATTATACTGATTTTGCAATTGTTTAGGTTAATAAAAATAGAGGCACTTTAATTTTAGCATGCAAAGGGAAACACCAGTAATATATAGAATGAGCATCTATAAAACTAATATAATAAATACATCCATCAAGCGGAGACTGAGAAAAAGGCCCCCAAACATCTGAGTGTAGAAGTTCTAAGGTGATATTAGCCTGAAAAGGCTGCTTATGACATTTATTCTGAAAGTAGGCATTACATGTGCCAGGTGTTTTAGACAACTTAAGGTGTGGTTGTTATTTGGGAAGAACTTTAATCACTTTATGGTTTGGGTAGCCAAGCCTATTATGCCATATTTCAAGGATGTAGTGGCCATCAGAGCACATAAAAGATATATGTCTTTATTGAGGCTGCGACTGAGTAGAATTTTCTTGGATAAAATGTCTTGTACGACAAATTTGCTAGTATGAAAAGTAATTGGATAGTTATTATCTTTGACAAATTGAGATCCATAGCGTTAAATTGTGAGAGATGTTAGGTACCTTTGAAATATTAGAAAGAAGGAGCTTATGATCAGGTGTTGGCAGGAGCCCATTTCCAGTATGAGAAATGTCGATGACCTGACCATTGCTAAGCTTTACCTGTTTCGAGCCATCATAAGGAGTCAGCTTTTGTAGATTATCTAAATAAGGTGGCATATGTGTTGTTGGCTCTGCATCCATAACCCAATCTTGATTCCTACAACTGTTAGAAACTTGGAGTGTTGTTGTGGCTTAGTTGTGGTAGCTTTGTACTGGAGATTCATCTGGTGCCAACACTGGTCAGTATAATTACCCTTCTAGTTGCCGATTTGACATATGCTGATAATTGTAGAGGGTTGAGGGTTGTTGTAAGATGCAAATTTTGAAAATTGGATGTTCTTGGTGGGTATTATTGTTTTGGAATAATTGGTTTTATTTTTAAAGGTGAGTAAGGCTGAGTCATGGCCAGATTTGAGAGTTTCGTTGACAATTTTGATTTCTTTGCTATAAAGAAGAGAATATAATCTTCAAGACTTAACCGAGTTAACTATGTGTGAATTGCAACTTTGAAAGATTAATAGGTAGGAGGGAGACCATTCATGGTGTAGATAAAGATGTCTTCATTATTAGCTTTGGAGCTGACAACGGTTATATTGTCTACTAACGATTTAATTGATATAAGATATTTTGTGTTCCCATATGAATGTTGTGGAGTTGGTGTTTGAATTGAATCACTCTTGAATAGTTTGAGGATTGGAGTCGTTTTTCAAGGGTGATCCAAAGCTCAGAAGTGTTGGTGAAGTGTATAATGTAGGGTAAAACAAATGGTGAGATTATTGAAAGCAAGGTTGCGAAAAGATTTTGATCAACAAGCTTCCAAAGTGCACAATTTGGGTTTTCCGTGATTGTGCCATTGGAACCTTGAAAATCTTTAGATGGGGAAGGGTGGTGCGATTAAGAAATGATTCGAAACTGTTGGCAATAAGGAGTTTTTTAACTTGAACTTTTCAAACAACATAGTTTTCAATTATGAGAGGATTACGTTCCATGCTTTTGATGTTTTGCATTAGAAAGACGACTGGAGGAGGGATAAAGCTTATCCTTCATCATGTTGAGGGATTCTTCAGATAAATTGGTACAATGTGGAGAATTTGAAGAAGGGGAATCCATGATTGTGAAGGCTTCACAAATATCCTTGATCTGATACCAATAAAGAACATAGATATAGAAGAAGAAGAAGAAGAAGAAGAAGAAGAGGAGGAGGAGGAGGAGGAGGAGGAGGAGGAGGAGGAGGAGGAGGAGGAGGAGGAGGAGATACAGAGACAAATAAGATAAGCTTTTGTATTAATTTTTCATTATGATACAATTACACTGCTCTTTGTGTATATAAATAACATATGACAAACTTGTAAATACTTGAAAGGGTACAAAAGACAAATTACATAGTATAGCTTTAATATAAGTACTATACATAATATAATCTCAAATTTTATCTTCCATAGAGACAAATGAGAGGCGAAGTCGAGGAGCAAAAGAGAAGCTTGGATTAATCAGACGAAAGGACAAAAGATCCTTGCTAAAGCAGCTAAGTCTTCATTACTGGCTCTCTAGTCTTCTCGGGAGTGCCGCTCAGTTGGAGTGGGGCACACTCCTAGTTATCTAGGACTATATATGTGCTTTGTTGGTGTTTAGAGATTTCATCTTTGTTTAATTTGCTTTGGGAAAGCTATGGACAACATTTTTTTTCCCTCTACGGGTTATATCTTAGGGTTCCAAGTAGTACTTTAGATATATTAGAGTGAAATTTATCCTTCCTAAACAATGTTCCATCCTTTCTCACATTGACTGCCTTCACCCTCGCCACTTTCACCTTGTTGCTACCACCTAAAAAATAGCGAGGTTGAAATCTCTCCTCCACATTTGTTGCCACCGCCCAAGAAGCAGCAAATATTATGTTTTTTTTTCCCTTCCTCCACCTCCGCTGCCACCACTCAGGGATAATCACTGGTTTATTGTCATCCCCTTCTGACTAGCTAGATGTCTCATTACCACCACCCCCGAGGTCTACAACGCATCACTTGCGCCCTAGATTTACCTCTTATTCTAGTTTTGTGTTGTATCATTGTAATTTTTAATTTTCCAACTATTTGTTATAATTCTAGATTTTGAATTCAATGATAATATATGTTTTTTCTTGGGTATTTGTTAAATTTCGGTATCAATCCTTATCATATTACTTTTTTTGCATAGAGTCAAACTTTAAAAATTTAGTGTTATTTTTATAATTGGCAGATTCAATAACTTCAATAAGCAATACTTAACTTTATCCCAAATTAAACAATAATACACTAAAATTTAATTTTTTTCGGGCAGGATAAACATTCAATCTGGCACCTTAAATTTTAACTAGACATAGGAGCACAAAATAAAGTTTTAGGAAAATTTATGTACTAACCCATAATATTATTTTAAATGTGATATTAAAGTTTTAAGTGTCATATATATAAATATGAATTCTAAAGTGTGAAATACGTAAATACCCCCTAGAATTTTAATCAAACCTGCAAAAGCCTCGACTTTTCTTTCC